TTGGAATTACACTTTGCCATTATTTTTTAAAATAATAGCACAAAAAATTTTGTAAATTCTATTAAAATAATTAGAGAAAAATAGTAAATTATTTTATAAATATTGGGTCGTCCGTAAAGGACGTCATTCAGAAATTAGATACCAACCATAAAGCGCTATAACACTCTAAAAACCTCTGCGAATGAGAATCAACATTTTTATTTCCTCTTTTTAAGTAAAAAATTCACATTTTAAAAAAGAAGGCAATTATCTTTTAATAAAAGAGAGATTAAACAGGCAGCAGAGCAATTACAAAAACACTTTCTAATCAAGTTGCAATGATAATGCCAGTCAAATTGCTCTTGACCTAAAGGCTCAAATTTTTAAGCAATTTGATGATTTGCATAAATGTTTAAAGAAACATAAGTTATTATACTTACATATTCAAACTCATGTTTTCTTACTGAAAAAGGCGCGCATCGCATTTACAACAAAATAACCAATATACAGGCCTTAGAAGCATAATGCTTCATCCAATTAAAAAATATTCAATATTATTATCAATACTACTACTACTACTACTACTACTACTACTACGACTACTACTACTACTACTACTACTACTACTACTACTACTACTACTACTACTACTACTACTACTACTACTACTACTACTACTACTACTACTACTTCTACTACTACTACTACTACTACTACTACTACTACTACTACTACTACTACTACTACTACTACTACTGCTACTACTGCTACTACTACTACTACTACTGCTACTATTGCTACTACTACTACTACTACTACTACTACTACTACTACTACTACTACTACTACTACTACTACTACTACTACTACTACTACTACCACTACGACTACTACTACACTACTACTACTACTACTACTACTACTACTACTACTACTACTACTACTACTACTACTACTACTACTACTACTACTACTACTACTAATAATAATAATAATAGCAATAATAATAATAATAATAATAATGATAAAAATAATAATAGCAATAATAATAATAATAATAATAATAGCAATAATAACAACAACAATAATAGTAATAGCAATAATAATAATAATAATAACATAAATACAAAAAAGTAATAATTACATTCATAGTTAGAACAATTTGTTTAAAATTATACAAATCTATAAAACAAACATAAAACGAATACAAAAAATAAATAAATATTATTTAAAAAAAAGTACAGAATAGCACAAACAGCGTGGTATAAATATTGATTAGTTTTAAGTCATAACAACTTAAGAAAAAAACAAGTAATATTAAAATAGTTTAGCTAAATATAATTATACCTATTTTGCTTAATGCAATAAATGTAATGTGAAAAATAAATTTATTACAAGAATAAAACTTCTATTTTATCAAATTACTAAGAAATAATTCGCAAAAAAAGTAATTTAGGTTAACAAAAGTTTTACAATATCAAAATACGAAAAAGAACTTACAAGCAATCCCTAGTTTTAGCTTTAATGCTAATAATTCTGACCAAAAATGTTTAAAAACTTTAAAAACAATTTTTCTTTATAATGATATATTGTAAAATTAATTGACCTCCAAAACAATTTAATTGTTATGAAGTGTGTGTGTGAGTGTGTGTGTGTGTGTGTGTGTGTGTGTGTGTGTGTGTCTATGTATATATATATATATATATATATATATATATATATATATATATATATATATATATATATATATATACATATATATATATATATTATATATATATATATATATATATATATATATATATATATATATATATATATAAGCACACATTGATATAAATATTTTCCAAATAAAAATAAATAAATTTAACTTAGAAAACTATAAAAGAAGACCTTTGCTAAATGCTTTAGGATATTGTTCAGCAGGAAAAACTAAGACACCTAAAATAAACAAAAAGTTAACATAACTTTACATATGCTTTTTTAAGTTTTGTAACAATAAATAAGAAAAAAATAAATTTTTGACCATTTTATTTTTTCTCAGAAAGTTGATTCAGCACTTTTATTATAATAGCAATAATTGTATTTAAAACTTTTTAAGATTTTTTTTCTTCAAAAGCTTATACTCTTGTTGCATCATTTCAAACATATATTATTAGGACGCAACAAAAGCTCTGGTAAAAGTACTTTATCAAGTAACCTGCCGCTAACTTATTCATAAAACAAAAATACATGCTATACAAAGTGAGCTTATCGCTTGGATTGAATTGTGGCTTAAAAAAACGTATGTATACAGTATAATTAGGTAATTCTAAATAGAAAACGGAAAGCAAGTTATGCAAAAAAGATTTGCTATAGGATCTAAAATTATGAAAGAAAAAAACAAAGTTTGAATAAGTTAATTTGGATATAAAAAAATGTGACTCTATAGTTAGGGTATTTGCATGCCCGAAAAACAGTAAGCACCTAAATTCATTTCTTTAGATAGATATCTGAGAGTTTCGATTTCTTATAATCTTTAACATCAAAGTGTAATTGTTGTGGTTAAAAAAAGAGATTTAATTCAATTATCTAAGTCAAATAGTTTGACTAAACAATTTAGTCAAACAATGTAGTCAAACAATTTATTCAAACATTTTATTCAATGTGTTTGGTCAAACAATTTAGTCAACATCTTTTTCAAATATCTTAATTAAACATCTTATTCAAACATCTTTTTTGAAAAAATGTAACATGAGTTTATCAAGATGCTTTAGATAATCAGTCGTTTTATTAACAAAGGTTTTTAATATGGTTAGAATTTCAATAACTTCTTTTGATTTTACTATAAATATTTTTGTAAAACCTACAAAATATAAACAGTCTTTTTAATTTGATAATCTAGATACATAATATTGATACACTTGCTGCTAAAACTTATAGGTTACAATTTATCTAAGTTGCTTAACACTAAATGACTGCACTTTGCAGTCATTAAGTTATTGCAATTTAAACATTAACACTTAGACGCATTCAAATATATACATAATAAATTATATCTCTAATAGTGCACTTACCATATGAAGTTTGACTCAAGAGTCTGTGTTTGAAAGCTTTTGAATTAAGCAGAAAAATAGAAAAAGCTGTTTAATTTTCCATATTTTACTAAGACTATTATTACATGCCAAAATGAGCTAGTTATTTAACTTCTTAATTTTTAAAAATCAATTGTTTAACAGATAACAATATTTGATTGTAAAAGGAAGTATGAAATTGGTTCATATTATATTGAAAATAACAGTATATAAATATATGTAACATATGATTGATTTTGTCATAACATTTTGTAATATAATTCAAAATGTTACAGTTGTTTACCTAAATTGTGTTATAATTCATATTGGTTCATCAATGATTGTTTCTTTAGTAATTTCAGTTTTAGTATAATTTAAGTAGTCTTTTCAGCTGTAATATAATTCATATGGCGGTAACATAAGTCATTTTAATTTCAGTACATTTTTTATTGTTGTCACATTATTCATTGCAATTGTACTATAATTCATAAACTTTTTACAACTCATTGTAATTTTATAAAAAAATGATATTTTTTTGCATAAAACTTAATTTTTTTAGAGAAAAGTAACAATAATTGACAATAATTTCTTTCACAAAAATCTATCTTTTTAAGTTAATCTGATTTAAAAGCAGTTTAAGTTTGAGATAATATAGTAAAATGGAAAAATTTTTTTAGTAACCTCACATTGTGAAAGCCACCAAGTTTTGACATCTCCAAAATGTAATTATACAAATACATATTAATAAAAAAACTTTCGTGACCTTTTGCCATCTTTACTCAAAATGAAACTTTTCTATCTATTTTTTCATATTTATCCAGTTAAACTTTATAATTTAAAGTAACAATGAAATATGCAAAATACAACTTTATCAAAAAATCAAACCAAAGAAAAATACTTAAAAAAATTATTTAAGATAATAAAAAAAGTATATAAAGTAGAATGTGTAGTATTTCTTTTAAAATAAAGTTTTTAAATGAAGTTTTTTCAAAGTTTATTCAACTCTGTTTTTACATAATTTTTAGAGCTATTTTTGAGCAAATAAAAGAAAATTATCTGGAAAACAAATGGTATGGAGAGGTACAGTCATTTGCTACAATTCAATTCAAAGGTCAAATCATTAATGCTAGTATTTACCCAGCACAAAACAGTCAAAAACGTTTGACAAACTTTATGAACATCCAAGTTCTATGAACGTTTGCAACGTTCGTTAAACGTTTTGTGTAAGCCGGATAGTTGCTGCTAACATTTAAAAAAATTGATACTTTTTAATACTTCTTAATAGTCAACGGAGGAAATGTAAAAAAATGTGAAAAATAAAATTAAAATAAAAAATCCAACAAGACAAAAGTAATAATATATTAAAAATAAAAAAATAAATTAATAATTAAGATAAAAAAAACGATATTTAAAATAATAATAAAAAAAAAAAAAATAGGCAAATATATAAAAGACATTTAGAATATTTTAAATAAGTCTAAAAATTCAATTCTTAAATAAAATTACCTGATAAACTTGGTGCAATAATTAGTCCAAGATAATAGCCAGTTAATAAAATTGAAAAAGCCAAAGATATATTTGTGTCATCACAATTGTCTATTATTAAGCTTTTTGCAATAACAACGACACCTTAACAAATAAGCGATATAAATATTTCAACAATTTTAATGGAAACAATAGTTGTTAATAATCAAAATATTACCACTTTTAAAGATATTTATAACCTTATTATTAATTTATAAACTAAGTATATTATTAAGCTTTTTGCAATAACAACGACACCTCAACAAATAAACAATAAAAATACCACTTTTTCAGATATTTATAAGTTTATTGAATACTTTTTACATTTAAAATATTTATAATAATTTGTTGATTTTCATTATATATATATATATATATATATATATATATATATATATATATATATATATATATATATATATATATATATATATATATATATATATATATTTCTAGATTCACAGATCAAAGGCATACAAATCTAAATATATTTAAAATAATGATTTTAAAAAATTTGACAATTTCTTTCACAAAAAGATTTTTGTGAAAGAAATTATTGTCAAATATTTTAAAGTTACCACCTATTACTATATAGGACAAGTTATTTTTATTATCACAATTATTTTAAATTTCAATTTTTCGATTTAAACTATTAGTATATCATCAGAAACTAGAATTTAAATTGTTGTAACTATTTTATACTGTTAAACTTATTAAAATTGTAAATCTGAACCAGAGGTTGTAAATATTAGATATAGTAGATGTTTTAAAAGTCACTTTGACATTAAATTATAGTCTTTAGAAATTAAAAAGTAGCCATTAACACTAAGGTTGATAAATTAAAAAAAAACTGATTTTTTATCTCACTAAGAGCATGTAAGTCTAGTAAATTTTGGAGGAGGTAATTTTAAACAAAAGAAAATCACACAGAAACCACAAATATATTTAAAAATAATTTAATCACCTAAAAATAAAAAATTTCAAATTTTTTATTTTTAGGTGATTATGTCATGTTTTAAGTTATTAGAGACAATCAATTATAGGTAGTGCATGGTAATCAGTCATTGAACCATACAGCTTTACTAACTAAAACACCACTAATGCACATTTTGGCACTGTTAATGTTCTGATTTTATAGCTGTAATGTAATGTTCTGATTTTATAGCTAATTTACCGTTTAGGTCCATTAGTCCAAGTGCAATAAAGTACGTCCTCGGACGTCCATTGGGCGTCCACATCCAAGAAGGTTTATTCTCTGAAAATTTTTTTTAAAATAATTAATTTTTCAACAGATTTGATAACTTTAACCAGAGTTGATAAACGGCGTAAATATTCTTGCCCACACCTTTTTTTCCGCAGCAGACTGCGGCTGCCTCCAAATTAAAAATTTAACGACAAAACTTTTTTTATTCCGTATCCATGGAGGTGGAACCCACTGATGTGAATTCCAAAATTTTCTTTATTTCATCTCCATGGAGGTGGAGCTACTGCAGTGGCTTCCGCTTTTTAATTGGCGCCGCAGTCAAAGTTTTTTTTTCGAAGCAAAATATTTTGGAGGCCAACGCCAATATAGAGGCAGAAGCCAATGGTGGCCGCCTCTTGAAGAAATTATGTAGACAAAAACATTTCGAGGACGCCTCCAATACCTTCTGCCTCCCAGCTGGCCGCACCCACCAAATTGAGGCGGAAATATTTGCCGACCGCCGAATGTAATGAAAAATAATTGCACGTTTTTCTTTAAGTTAAGGAAAACTTAAAATAATAACTGAAAAAAAATGATAAATATTTGACATTAAAGTTGTGTTCTATATTAGTTATTGACAAGTTAAAAAAAATTTTGAAAAAAATTATAATTATGTTAGAGGAGTTGTTTTTCTAGGACTATCAAGTAAAATTTTAACTAGTAAATTTTTTGAACTTTTAATCGCTTAAATCTATAAAACGTACAAAAGTAGATGAGTCTATATTTTTAAAAGTTTTAAAAGTATAGAGTCAAATATAAATAATGTTTATAAAAGTACATATAGAGTGAAAATAACGCAAACCAGACACTCTCAACAAAAACCTAAATAGCTTTTTTAACATTAAGAAATTGTAGAATTTTTTTTCTGGAATATAGTTTTTTTACTAAAACTATTTTGCAGTGTGAAAAAAAAAAAATAATAATAATAATTTCAAGTTTCTATGAAAAATAAGGCTTTTATATTTTACAAAGTGTCCACTTCGAAGTGGACACTTTGTAAAATAAAAAAAAATACTGAATTTATCAATGTTTTTTTCATATAATTTTGAACTGTCCGCTTTGATGGATAATTTTCTGGGAAGTACTTCCCAGAAAATTATCCATCAAAGCGGACAGTTCAAAATTATATGAAAAAAACATTGATAAATTCAGTATTTTTTTTTATTGTTAAAATATACAAATAGTAATAATAAAAACAGAAAAAACTAAAAAGAAACACATAAAAAACATAAGCAAGCTTGAGCTTGAAATAAAAAACAAATTTATGAAATATGTTTCGCAACTTTTTGTGCAAAAGAATTCTCCGCCTTTTATATATCTTTTTAGGAGACAAGGTTCACAAAGCCAGGACTTGAAATTTGATTTTTCACAAGTTTTGCATAAAACTTGCATCTCAGGCTTTTCATTTTTTAAAAACTTTGAGCATTTTTTCCACTTTTTGTTGGCTTTCTTGGCAAGAGTTTCTACTTTTGTTGCTGCAATTTCAACATAATTTCGTTTTAATAGCATCACGTTTTTTTCTTCTCATAACTTGTTTAAGCATGCTTCTTCTGTAAAAGCTTGACCAGCAACTGTTCTAACATTTCTAGCTTTTTTTGCAGGATGCTTGTAAGCGTTTTGAAATTGAAATAGCTTCAAGAGAGCTTTTCCAAGATTTATTTTTACAGAAATCCCCGTTAAAAAGTTAAATTTAAAGTTGAAACTAAAGTTGCAGCCAGAATTAAAGTTTGTGTTTGTTGAGCAGTTTGAAGAAAGAAATTGGGCTGCTTGGTGATTTTGTAACTGCTGATGATGTTATTAAGGTGTTTAAAAAGTTTGACAAATTTGCAGTTTTGATTTGTTAACACTGTCTTATTTAATTGAAAGAGCCAGTGTTTTAAAAACCAACAATAATTTGAGTACGAGTATAACCGGTAAGCTTTGTTGCTTCTTTACAAATGTGCAAAAAAAATTTTTTTAGATAAATTGCTAAAACCACTTTCAGCATGCAATTTTCTTAACCCCTTATTGCCTGAGTTATGTTTTAAACTACTTAAAAAATGAAAACTTTTTGTTTTTGTCCTTAAATAAATGCCAAACATTGGAGAGTTAGTCTAATTCAATCTAGTGTATATAATAAACGCTTCTTTAGGTTCGATGCGAAAACATGACAACAGGCATTATAGGATAAAATGGTAAAATTTAACAAAAATGCATATAATCAAATATATAAACTATTAGACACAAAATTAATAATAGACAATTCAATTATTATGTTCAACAATATTTAATTAATATATTATTACTGTTCTAGTAAAATAAATCAATGTTTAAAATAAGAAAAAAGTTAAAAAAAAAATAAATATGAAACCAATTATTATTCTATTCATGTAATTCTTGGAAACAGTTTTTCTTTTTGTTAAGGCATAAGTGAACATTGCTCTTTAAATGTAATCTAGGTTGGTTCCATGTTTCTTATTCAAAATTGAACAAATATTAGGTTTTTTAATCCAAAATACTTTCTTAGCTTTTTTTTTTCATGATGTTTTTGCTAATACTGCTGATTTGCCTTTTTTATTTTTATTTTTTTACAACGTCGCTCATTTTTCAACTAGATCATTTAATAGTTTCCTAGAACGTTTAATATTTATTTAACTTTTTTCTAATTGCTTAAAAAAATTTTAATGTAGCCTAATACCAGAGACAGAGTGAAAAGTTAACAAATTAATATGAGCAAAAGTAAAATTCGGTAAAAATGAAAAAACTAATTGTAGAATCTTTAGCAAACCTGATGTGTTTGTCATCAAATATGCCGCCGTTATATCCTCAATCGATCCACGGTTTCTTTATAGTAAAAAGGATGCAGTTCTGAGAAAATATTGCTAGTTCAGAGCTTGCTGTAATCATTATTTCTTGTGAAGTACAACAAATTAAAGTTTTGGTTGGAGCATTTTTGTCTAACAGATGCCTGAGTTTTTAAGATTAAAATATTGAATGATAATTGAAAAGTAGTTTTTAATCAGTTTTGAATTATAAAGTAAAAGTTTTTCAGTTTATAATAAAAAAAAAAATTCTTAGCTTAAGTAAATGGTACGAACTAATTTTTTTAATATTTTCTTTTAGAGTTTATAGAAAAAAAAATTAGTGTTTTATATCAATATTTAAGGTCCCCGTTTTTTGATTAAAAAAGTTGGGGTTTTGGGTCACAAGTTGTAAAAGCGGGGACTTTAAAAGTTTAGCATAAAATTACTTTTATCCAACCGGTCAACTCATCCAGGTGGTTGGGATTTAATTTCATAAAATTGTTGAAAAATTACGCACCCTAATATATATATATATATATATACACATATTTGTATTTGTACTGGAAAAAAACATGTAAAAAAAGGTTATTAACTCGCTATTTAATCATGCTTTAATTTTATTTCAACACTTTTTAAGGTTACTTAACGAGAAAAGTGGGAGGAGGGACTCCCCTGAAAACATTTGAAAATGCTTTGAATGCTATAATGGAATACAGACATTATTTAGCGAGGATGAAAGAAAAGAAAAAGATAAATTTTAGAGCACTCTATATTATAAATGCATAAAAAGTGAGCATTAAATGCGAGTTTGTAGTTATTACATCTTATATAACACTAAACTTTTTTGTTAACAGTAAATAGCAGAGAGTGAAACAATAGTGCAATGCTCGTTTTCTTCTACTCATTATATGCAATATAACTGCGGTCGTTTTATATTTTAGTTAAGTTTTTTTATGTATGACTTTTCATAACAAGTATTTTAATATACAATTGTTTATTTTTGGTTTTCTAAATCATGCTCTATGATTGACAAACAATTTTGTAAAAACTATTTTTCCTTTAGATATTATTGTTGTTTACTTAATTGGCTATGATGCAAGAAACATCGAGTGTGCAAAATGCGACATATTAAAACGAGCCAAAAAGTTATGTTTTGGGTAGGTTTTATTTATAAGTTATTGTATAATAATTTAATAATATTGTCAAAAATATTATTCCTTTAATTATTTTGTAATGATTTGTTTTAATACTGCAACTTAATTACTTGTGCAATAACTTTATTATTATCTTAATGCCACACTCTAAATCCCTAAATGCGTAATTTAGGCCTTGTGGGAAGAAAAAGACTTCTTTTCATATATCAAGACTTTATTTATTAAAGTTGTTAGAAATTTAAATGAACGTTATTGAATAGAAAAAATTTGAACGTTCGTTAGACGTCCAATAGCGACTAATCTGGACTTCCGAATGGACTGTTTTAAACGTCCTTGGACGTAATTTAGAGGTTAAATTCGAAAGACAAAAGTCGTTTCATTTGGTACGTCCAATGGACGTCCGATCGGACCATTTTGGACATTCTTTGCATTAGAATAATAAGAGTACAAGACTTGTCAACAAACCATTTCTTCTTATACCAAAAGTCTTTGCCTATGAAGATAACAGCCTGATGCAGTTTACATTTGCCTAAATGAGTATTTTTATGGATACCATCTCAAGTTTATACTCAACCAAGATCCCTAGGCAGGGGTAATTTAAGTCAATATTTATTTCTACTAGCTTTTGCTTAGATAAGTGAATCCTACAAGGCAGCATGGCATGAGACAGATTGAATTGGATTACATTTTACTAGTATCAGGTTGACTATGTGGATCCACTTGATCAAAATTAGTTAAAAGAAGTTCTTCTTTAAAAAATACTTCAATATCAGTAATGTGTGTCCCTTTAAATTATTATTATTTTTAAATACATCTTAATTTAGATTGTAGTATAATCAAATTTAAGAGACTTTAAATATACGGTTAAAAAAGTCATTAAGTTAAACAGTTTATTTTATGGCTATGATCATTTTAGTCAGTTAACTGACACCACAGTTGATATTAAGAATTGTATGAGTGTTGTGTGATAGTTGTGTAAGTGCTGTGAGCCTGTTAAGAATGTTGTGCAAGTAATGTGTGATTGTTGTACGATTAGTTGTGTGAGTGCAGCCAAAGTGTAACTTGTGTAATGTAAAATAACAGAAGTTTTGAATATAACAAAATTTTGATTTTAATACTTTTGAAGAACTATATAAGGCGGCTCAACTATAAAAATGAAAAAATTTTTTTTTAATGTTATAATTTAAATTAAGTAAGTATATTATCGGTAAATAGAAGGGAAAAAAAGTTTAATTTCCTTTCATCGTGTTATAATGGTTGTAAAATGAGTCATTTAGAACCTAATTTTGAAAAACAATTTTGTATAAACGACTAGAAACTTGAGATTTCTATTTAGTGAAACATTTTATATGCTTAAAATAAAATGCCTGAGGAAAAAACATTGCCTAAACTTAACAATAACAATAATAATAAAATTAACAAAAAAACAAAAATTGAGACTTTTTTTTTGTAAAAGAAGTCAAAAATTGGAGGGTCAGCTGAGAAAATAAAACAAAAAAATGAATCTTTATGAAGTACTTTGTTTTCGACATCAGTCTTACTTCAAGCCCTTTATTATTTTAAGTGGAAAAACCCTCAAAAATTTGAAGCAAAAATCTCATTTAATTTCTCATCTAAGCTATGTTTTTTCAAAAAATAAAATTGCACAAATAATCAAAAGGTAAGAAATAGCAATAAACATTTATTAACTAAAAAAATATCAACAACTTCCAAATTTGTAAAATTTTTAAGTTTCTACTTAATGTTCATTACTATTTCAACCTTTATTAATGGCTTTTATTTACAATTTTCTGCAAAGTGTTTTTATTTTGCTAAACTTGATAATGCGTTTTCATCCTTAAAATATAAAAACATTTAAATCATTCTCAAAATTTAAGTGACTCGGTACTCTCAGAACATCAGCAATTCCCTCTTAAAATACAACACAACTGAGTTTACTCCTAACTTATATAATAGACATTTTAAACAAAAATTATTAAATGAATCCTACTATTCAACTAACTTAATATCAATTTTATTATACAAACGCTAGGTAACCATGTTGTTATACAAATGCTAGGTAACCATGTTGTTATATTAAATCATAACGTGATTAACAAAATCTGACAAAATAAAAGTTTGGCAAAAAGAGGAAAAAATTATAAACCTGACTTAGCGTTGATTATTATTATTATTATTATATTTTCTTTGCCTTATAATTAAATTTACAATGAGAAAAAACCATTCATGTATAAAAATTGGCCGGAGCAAGAAGAAGACATAAACTGTCTTATCGCCAAGCCCCGTTTACATTAACGTCACAAAGTTACAAGTTAAAAACTAAAAGGTTAAAAATTGAAGTACAATACAATATTAGTTCGACAAATATAAGACACAAGTAATAAATCGAATAAATGTTATATGTCTGTTCAAAATTAATAGTATATATATTTTTTATTTTAATAAGAAATAAACAAGATACACAAGACAATAGTAAATGAGTAGTGATGACTTTTTCAGGTTTAATTATTTTTGGTGATTTTAGAAGAAATCTTTAAAATCGAAAGTTTTTTCTAATAGAAAACGTTTAGATTCTCTTTTGAATTGTTCTAAGGAGATGCCTCGAAGAATTTTATTTTTAATTATATTTTTTAAAAAACCTTTCCATATAAATGGTCCCCGGTATTGAATTTGAAATGAATTGAGTTTTAAATAAGATCTTGGAATAACAAAATTATCAGATGAAAATTTAGTGGGATATTTATGAGATATTTCGGTAAAGTAAGACTGAAATATATTAGGAGATAACGCATGTTTTGTTTTAAACGTAAATAGGATAACTTGGTATATATTAAGTTTGTAAATATTAAGCACATTAAGTTTCTTTAAAAGAGATTCACCATTAACAGTTCTGTTAACGCCAAAAATAATCCTACAAGCATGTTTTTGTTTGCTATAAATTTTTTTGAGCTTCCCATAATTGGTACTTGCCCATGCAAGATTACAATAGGAAAGGTAACTATGAATAAATGAGAAATATATAATTTTTAAAGATTCCGTATTAAGAAAAGGTTTAACTTTATATAGCATTGAAATATTTTTGGAGATTTTATTTTCAATAGATCTAATATGATATTTCCATGATATATTTTCATCTAATATCACTCCTAGAAAGTTAATAGTTGACTCTCTTTTAATAACTTTTTTGTTCATAAAGAGATCAGGTAGTTTTAAAAAAAGGTTATCACCTTTATTAGGTTTGTGGAACAACATAAATTTAGTTTTCCCAACATTTAATGAAAGTTTATTATTCGTAATCCATTCATTTATTTTTAATAACTCTTCATTAAAAATTCTAAACAGATCTTTAATATTTCTGTTAGAGCAAAAAAGATTTGAGTCATCAGCAAACAAAATAACGTTTAGAATTTTGGATGCTAAATACAAATCATTAATGAACAGTATGAATAATAAGGGCCCTAAGATTGATCCCTGGGGAACACCACAAGTTATGATATGTTTTTTTTCTTCATTTTCTGTATATATTATGTATTGTTTCCTGTTTGAAAGGTAACTTTTAAACCATTGTAAGTTATTGTTTAATACTCCATACATTTCTAGTTTTTTTATTAGAATATCATGATTAACAGTGTCAAATGCTTTTGACAAATCAATAAAAACTCCTAATGTATAGCAATCATTATTGAACCCATTGGATACATAATTTATTAGATCGACTACTGCATGGTCTGTTGAATGATTTTTTTTAAACCCAAATTGTTTATTATACAGAATATTGTTCTCAGTTAAATAGTTGTTAAGTCTATCATACATAATTCGTTCTAACAATTTAGAGAAACATGGTAAGACAGAAATAGGTCTATAATTGGACATATTTGTATCATCGCCATTTTTAAAAATAGGTATAATCTTAGCAATTTTTAATTTCTCCGGTACAATACCGGATTTTAAAGAAAGATTAAAAATGTGAAACAGTGATGGTTCAATAATATCAAACACAGCTTTAACTACATTTACGCTAATTTTATCAATGCCCGCACATTTATTATTTTTTAGACAGTTGAAAGCATTGCGCATCTCACTTAAGTTTAAATTAGATTCTATCATAGATGTGTTGGGTGTATTTATATAAGATTCGAAGTTGTTTGAATTGGTTTTTGGAATTTTATCAGCTAATTTTGGTCCAATATCAAGAAAAAATTTGTTGAGCTTGTTAATTATGACTTCTTTATTATAAATTATATCCCCGTCAACTAAAAGTTTTTCTGGCAATTTATTATTTTGACATTTATTTGTACCGATTATCTGCTTAATTACATTCCACGTCTTTTGTGTGGAACAGGCTATCAACGCTAAGTCAGGTTTATAAGCCTAAACAAAGTGAAATAACTCTCAATAGACTAAAGTTATGTTAATATAAGTTTCAAGAACATTTACAACTAGGTAGGCTTAATATAAAAAAAAATAAGTCCAAAAAACCAAGTTTTAATAAAAATCGAGATTTATTTCGTAGTGGGGCACCTTAAAATATAGAGAGCTAAATAATTTTTTTTAATCAAACACTATGGTAAGACAAACTTTGGAATTGAAAGAAAGAACAGCTATAAATTACTTTCAGCATACGCAAAAAAAAAAAAAAAATCAAAAAATTGTATTAAAAAAGCTTCTAACCCATTGATGCACCTTGTAGTAATCTTGTTACGAAAGCCCAAGTAAATGTACGACTGAAACCAAATGCAAATGTGGAAATGGCAATACAATTAGATGAGATAAACAACAACTTCTTTTTACCATATTTATCCGCAAAGTAACCCCAGAGAATGCTTCAAAAAACATTTTAAGAAAATATGTAACAATAAATCTAAACTAAAAACCATATTTTATATATATATATATATATATATATATATATATATATATATATATATATATATATATATATATATATATATATATATATATATATATATATATATATATATATATATATATATACATACAGTAGCGTCCAAAAATTTGCGGAACGGCAAAAAAATAAAGAATTTTAATTATATTTCGGCACATACTTTACTAAAGCCAACATATTATATACCAATTAACAGGTTTTCAAATTTACAATTAGGTTTTGAACAAATAATTATTATCTAAATAATATTTTTTAATTGCTATAAAAATCAACGGTATTTGATAAGTTCAAAACTTTGCGGACAAAGCATTATTTTTTATGATAGTTAAAATATTTCAACAATATTTGATCAAAATTTTTGCAAAAGCAAAATCACATTAGTATTTTGTAGGATATCCTTTACAATCAAGAATAGCTTGGCATCTATGAGGCATAGAGTCAACTAATCAAATCCAAACGTCAATGGGAATTAATTCCCATAATTCTTTGATTTTATCAAATAAATTAGCATAATTTGTAGGCTTAATTCCTTTCATTTGACGGTCAACATGTTCCCATAGATTTTCAATGGGATTTAAGTCAGGTGATTGGAATGGCCACTTCAAAACTTCAACTTTAATCTCTTTAAAAAACTCTAAAACCAGTTTAGCTGTATGTTTGGGATCGTTATCCTGTTGGTAAATCCATCCTTGAGGCATTTTATCCTTTGCATATGGTAACATAACAGTCTTACATATATCTTTGTACTTTTCTTGATTCTTATTCTCGGTAATTCTATGGAGAGGACCAACTCCATTTCGGCTAAAACATTCCTAAACCATTACATTACCTCCTCTATGTTTTACGGTAGGCAGTTGGTATTTATGATTATACCTAGTACCTACTGGACGTCGAACACACTTGATTCCATCGGATCCAAACAGCATAAATTTGCTTTCGTCACTAAAAAGAATTTTTGACCATTTTTGACTAGTCCACTATAGATGTTTTGATGCAAATTCCATTCGGGCGTTACGGTTTTTCAAAGATACTAATGGTTTTTTAGCTGGGCGTCTTCCAAACAAATTAACGTGACGTAAACGACGTTTTATAGTAGAAATACTACAATTCATTTCATAGAAACGTCTCATTTGTACGTTTAAATTGACAGCTGTCAAACGGGGATTTTCTTTGCTTAGTATTACAAGCTTTTTATCCTAATAACGCGTTGTTTTGCGTGGCCTTCCTGATTGATTTTTATTCTTTGTAGATCTAGTAAGCTCAAATCTATTCATAATTTGTCCAACAACAGACTTACCAACTCCATAAGCTGTGCTGTTTTACAAAACGAGTTTCCATTCTGAACTGATCTCAAGATCAATTTTTTACTGGAGATGAAATACATTTCTTAGATCCCATGATCTCAATCACTTATATATAAAGCTTTGAAATTATTTCCCCAAAGTATTTGTTTATAAAATCAAAAAATTAGCTATTTTGTGGTGAAAATGTTAAAAGCGTTGGTTTGTTCGCAAACTTTTGAAATTATCAAAAATCGACATTTTGTTTACCAATTTTAAAATAATAATTAAATATTCATTATTTGCTCAAAACATAATTGTTAACTTGCAAACCTCTTAATTGGGATATAATATGTTGGCTTTAGTGAAATATGTTCTGAAATTTAACTAAAATTCCTTATTTTTTTGCCTGTCCGCAAACTTTTGGACGCTACTGTATATATATATATATATATATATATATATATATATATATATATATATATATATATATATATATATATATATATATATATATATATATATATATATATATATATATATATATATATATATACATATATATATATAAATATATATATATATATATATATATATATATATATATATATATATATATATATATATATATATATATATATATATATATATATATATATATATATATATATATATATATATATATATATATATATATATATATAAACATACAGTGTTAGAAAATTATTATGGATTTTTCAGTTTTTAATTAAAAATGAAGTTTTTTACTTTAAAAACAATAATAAAATAAAAATAAAGATACAAATAATATATTCCAGCTATATCAAAGTTTGTAATACTTATTTTAAATACTTTTGGCAGCTTTCAATGCTTTCATTTTTTTGGGAATGCCTATGAATAAATCACAGCATAGCTTTGTGATTTTTTCGCTGTGGAACAAGACATGGATTAACCTCTGTACAAGCTATGCTTTTTTAGTAATTGTAACTTTGTGTATTTTGTCCTTTAAAATGTCCTATATATTCTCGTTTGGGTTTATATCTGATGAGCTCCCAGGCCATTTGAGTACAGAGATTCCATTGTCTCGCAACCATCTCATTGACAACATGCTCGTATGGCAAGAAGCACAATCTTGTTAAAATAGAAAATCCTTATTAGTGAACCATTCTCTGACTTAACGGACCAAACGTTTCTCCAACACCTCTATATACTTTTTCTGGTTCATCATTCCTTCAACAGTATGTAGACGGCTTGTTGCATAGATGGATATCGTTCCCCACACTAAGGTTTTTAATTATTGTTTTTTTTATATATACTCATTTTTCGTGAATAAACAATCATTTTACAATATTTCTTGTAAAAACTAAAAATTAAATCTTTTTATTCTGACAGGAGCAATTAGAAGACAATGTGTGTTATCATCCTGCTCGTAAGTTCGTGAAAATACCAATAAAGTGTTACGTATAAAGTTTCTAAAATATACGTTATATAAGTTTTATAAATATTACAAGTTTTGTACATACTATAACATATTACAGTTCATAAAATATATATAAGTTATAAGATGCATATATACGTGTTAACAAATCGATATATTAATGTTTTTAAAAATACAAAAGAATGTTTTTGTTATTTAAATCTAATAAGTATCGTTTAACTGCTCTTTAAAATAGTTCAATTAAAGTCATGTTTTTCATGTCTCTAATAAGAAAATAGTTCCACAAACGTGGTCCACGACATGTAATTGAGAAGTCTGTTTTTCTAAGGGATGTTGTAGGGATGCAAAAGTTGCCAATGGAATGTCTTTGTGCAGTGGAGAGTATTTGTGATTAATTAAGATGAAATGAGTTTGAAAATATGTTGGAAGCGTGTTGTTATATTTGATATATGTTTAGTTTATAAATATTTAAAACATTAACTTTTTTAAGTAAAGGCTCGGTGCATGCATATCTACCTGCATTCAAAACTACTCGGCTTGCTTGCTTTTGTATGGTATTAATTTTTTTTAAAAACATGAATAATTACTTGCCCACGCTATATTGCAATAACTAATGTGATTATGAATAAATGAAATAGTAGGGAAATTCATTGTTTTCTTGAGACACTCATGCTTAAACTCCTCTCCAGGTCTTTATCTGACTGTCTGAATTTTATCAAGCAACACAGCAATTGTTGATTCATCTGAATTCTGCCTGAACAAAAAAATTCCTGATAAGTTTCAAAGAAATTATGGTACAAAAATTACATTAACAGTCATAATAAACAAGTTAACATCTTCTGATATTTGTCAATAATTATAATGAAACTGAAAAAAGTTAAGAAATCAATCTATCGGAGATCAAACAGAAAGCTAAATTAATGATTACCTTGGAACAATCATCTTGCGTCAAACTTACATGCTTAACGGCCCACCCATGCTTGGCATGCTTCATTTTGTTGGTGAGTCTTGGCTTTCTTCTTGGCCTATATGTCTTCATTTCCTGCTCCAACTAGCCATTATTCGCTATTTTACGGCTTACATTAATACCTTGACTTGCTAATTCCATAGATATCTTCTTGCAAGAACTTCTATCTTTGAGGGTCATTTCTTTGATTTTTCTCTCAAGTCTGGGAGTAGTAATTCTTTTATGATTGCATTTTCAAACTCTTGCAGTTTTACCCTCATCCAGGTTCCTTTACTTTGGATTAACTGTTTGTGTTGAAATCTTCAATTTCATAGCTGTATCCTTTTGTTTTAAGCAACTATTCTCCAACAAAAAATAAAACACACACAGATATATATATATATATATATATATATATATATATAAATATTTATCTAGGTCTTATACTTTTGAGTCATTTTCTTTTATTTTAAATTTGCTAATTTAGAGTACTTTTTTTACAGTTGATAAAAATATTCTTTTGAAAACGGAAATCCACCCTATTCAAAAACGAGGAATAGAGTATTTGCATGATTTATTTACAGCTGCAAAAAATTTTTCCTTCTTTATTTTTTTACAAATAGAGACCATCCTTCCATTAGGTCAAGGGGCCACCGACCATCTCTCTCTAAGCACATTGAAGATATATTACAATAGTTTACTTTCGCAACTTTTTTATCAGGTCTAAATGTTTTAAACGTAGATAATACTTTTCTTGCCTGGAACATTTTTTTATGTTTGCTTTTTGTACTTTTAACAAGTACAAAAAGCAAACGTAAAAAGTTGTTCAAAGGTTTTCGGACTACCTTAAGGAACCCGACATCCAAATTCAGCGTGCTCATTTGCTGAGCACGCTGAATTTGGATGTCGCAAATTGGCATTAGCTTTTGTCCGAGATCATGCCGCAATGCAAATTACAAAAAAATCTTAAAATCTACGTAAGTAGGACTACACTTCTACCAGAGGCTCTCGCGGAGAGTATCTTGCTAATGTTATTTTTTTTAAAGATTATGCCGGTCTAAACAAAAAAATAATCGCATTAAAACTTTTCTAGAAGTAAATATCAGCTACGTTACGCACACCGCCAAACTGTAGCAACTTCGGCAAAAATTGCCTTAGCGCTTTTCAATAATTTAGAAGAATCAACGAAAATACTAGTTTAAGTCATGTAGCAGCACTACAAAGTAATACGACGCTCATAACATCTAACCTAAAGATAAAGTACAACTACTCATATCTGCTTTGAAAAAAGGCCTAAAAGTTTTCAAATGGAAAAAAGCTATTTGGACGCCAGAATTATTTTAATATCACAAGTAGACAATAACAATGAAGGAAACAATTCTATATAGCAAATACAATTGCTCCAGGTTTTTAAAAAAACTATTTGTCAATCTATAAAAGCGGGGGTACAACCTATGGTACACGCTCAGCGTCATAAAGAGCAAAATATATCCGCCTTAAAACAAGCTGCCGCTCTAGCAGCATCTTAAACTTCAAAAAAAAGTTTTTTGCTTATTCCAAAAGTTGCGACCTTTAAGAAGCTTTAGCGATAAGAAAAAATGTCCCAACCTGAAATACTGTAAAGGGGGAGGGGGTGAAATGTTTTTTGTATCTTTAAAAATTCCACACGTAAAATAAAGTGTCCAGAGTAAACAACTTCAAAACGTCGCGTCTGTGTCTAGGTACACTGATCAGTGGCCTCTCGACCTATGGAGGATGGAAGGAGGATCTTTTTTTTCTTAAAAACAGGCGGATAAATTATTTGTACCTGTAAAAATTATTTGTATCAGTTATCAAAAACTTTTTACACATAAAGTGTAAAAAGGTTTGTTTAGCTGTAAAAGATACAGACAAAATGAGCCGTTTTTGCTCATTTTTACCAGGGTGGGTAGCCCCATTTTATATAAATTTTTTTCTCAACTGTAAAAAAAACTTTACCCAAAAAAATATTTAAGACATAAAAATGACTTAAAAATATAAGACCTTGATAATTACTCTTATTTTCAAAAAACCCTTTCGAACCTCAGGGTGGAGGGGCGGAATAATGTTGTCTATTTACAACAGGAATCAACGAATTAACTTTTTAAAACTTTTGAATTTTACCGGACACAATTTATCATTAAAACAAAATGTTTTTGCAAAATAAAAAAACCTGCTGAATATTCTTGAAAAGAACAAAGATGAACTAAGTAACCCAGCATCTTTACCTAAATAAAAATAATAATGCAGTATATAACTGTTAACAAAAACCTTTAGTAACATGTTTTTTTTAAAAGAGGAAAAAGTAGACAAAAAAAATCAGTCTATGAGATTAACTACAGTTAGTTGTTTCTGTTATAAAGCAATACAGCTATGAAGCTCTGGGATAAACCTGGTATTGCCAAAAACCTCTATTTCAAAGCGAAGCTACAGTCAAAAATTTCTTGTATAATTCTTATTCGAATTTCTCAACTGTATAAAAATAAGAAATAACAGCATTATTAGCATACATGATCATAATATATGGTGAAATAATCTCGGTAAATTGTCATAAAATTAATGAAATAACAATCCTGTTTTTTTTTTTATTATCTTTTACATAATTTGATGTTAATACAATTTATTAAACAAAACTTTCACATAACTGGATGTTATTAAAGGTATTATTGTACACATCTTTTACATAATTGAATGTTGTCACAATTCTTTATACACATCTTTTACGTAAGAAGATGTTATTATATTTCAGTACCCGCACCTTTTACATTACTACATGTTATTATATTTTATTTTAAACTTCTTTTACATAACTGGGTGTTACAACAACTCATTATATATATTTGTACACAAGAGAATGCTATTATAATTCATTATAAATATCTATAACATAACTAGGTGTTTCTGCGATTCGTTAAACACATCTTTTACATATCTGGATGTTATAACAATTCATTATACACATCTTTTACATAATTGAATCTAAAAATATTTCAATATACACATCTCTTACTGAACTGGATGTTATTACTTTTTAGTTTACATATCTTTTACATAACTGGATGCTATTAATATTCATTCAATATATCTATGCATTATGCATTTCGTATTACACATCTTTTAAATATAATTAGTTATGCCTAGTTTTCGTATATTTATTTTTTAAAACAAATGTTTAAAAACGTAGCACTTTTTTACTAATTGTCCAAATTTAGATAACAACGTAACAACTATATGTTAAATTATTACTTACCTGCTTGAACTTCAGACGCTCCAAACGACTAAAAAAAAGGAAAATAAATAATAAAAATATAAAGTATGAGTATAACAAATATAGAGTATAACAAATCTTAACCCTACTATTATGTTAGGGTCCAAAAGCACCCAACAAGTAGATAATTTTTGCATTATATATTTATGTAGTTTTTTTTTACTTATATGTTTTTGTTAAATATCACAAGACATACAACGATCAAAAAAGTATATTTTTTGAACATTGCTTCCTTTTTTATCTATTTTTAAAATATAAATCAATAATAATCGGGTCCAGTTGGACCCCAACATAGTTTTTATTATAAACTTAATGGTTTTTTTAAAAGTTATGCTTTTGAAAAGTATTTTTATTTTTTTATTTATAACTTACTCAATCTTGTTTTTTAATAATTTAGATAAACTATATAACTTTGGATTTCATAACAAATACTTGAATTTATGGCTAAAAATAAAAAAAGAGTTTGTTTTAGATATGCAATTGAACAGGCTCAGGAACTATTGTTTGCATTGCTTGATCGAGATTCAAAACAATTTCATTCAAAACTGATACTTCCAAATTTGTCTTTAAAGTTGTAAGATTCTATTTCTGAGTCACTTGCAAAAATTTGATCACAAAATTTTGAAACAAGTTAATGTGGTTCAACAAACCACAAAATAATACAAAAGATAGCAACGATGAAAATAATGCAGCTAACTTATGGAGCACCCATTATAAGGTGATCATTTAAAGGTAATCTGAGGAAAATGAATAACCGCGGCATTGTGTTACTACTTTCTTATATGGTTCCTTCAAATACTAGAAATTTACTCATATCTACCAAAAACAAGTTGAATATTTTTTTAGGTTTTTTTGCGCCAAAGACATTAGTATTCTTAGCACTGTAAACTCATGACTTATTGAAATTT